ATGAAAATAAAAATAATGAAAAAGCTAAACAGTCAAATAAATGTAAATGCAGTTTTGTGCCAGGAATTTTTTCTAAACTTCAATTTCTATTTTTCAGACATCAGCACCGACGAGATGACTGCCCAGTGTGTCATTTTTCTCCTTGCCGGCTTTGACACGACAAGCAGCTCGCTTACAATGGTCGCCTACCTTCTGGCGCAAAATCCTGAAGTCCAGAAACGCCTCTACACCGAAGTAGTGACGATGATTGAGAAACTTGCAGAACAACAAGAAACGGAAATAGAAACTAAAAACATTTTCACCTTTTTCAGCTACGACGCCGTGAATTTAAAGTTTCCACTGTTGAATGCAGTCATCGCAGAAACGCAGCGACTCTATCCACCGGCGATCTTCATTGAACGGACCGCCTCGGCAGATGTGCAGCTGACCACCAATGAGGGAACAGTATTAGAACTTAAGGCTGGCGAGGTGGTCCACATTCCCGTCTGGTCGCTGCATCGAGACCCGGCGTACTGGGGAAAAGATGCAGGGGAGTTTAAACCGGAACGCTTTTTAGAGAATTCATCAGCAGCGCTGAAAAACGCTGCCTACCTGCCTTTTGGTGCCGGGTCGCGCATGTGCATCGCCCAGCGAATGGCCACTGTTGAGCTGCGCCTGGCACTGCTGCACCTTGTTCGCCATTTTCGCTTTGAAGTGTGCCCGGAAAAGACAGAACGGGAGGTGACCTTTGTCAATCAGTTTGACATCAACTCACCCAAAGCGGTACATTTGCGCATTGTGAAACGGCGATGCGAAAATTGATTGATTTCATTTACTACCAAATTTCTGATTAATTAAGGTGAGAGTGAGTCGAATTTTCTATTTTATTGGCTTTCGTATTATTCCTATATGAATTGTCANTGTGGTTTTTGTTTTAAAACAAAGCTAAAGAGTTTGACCACAATCGTATGAGAGCTTTTAGGCAAATTCAAAGTACTTTATTTTTTATAAGCATTTAAAAATTGAAAACATGAAATTTTGCAAATTTTGCAAATTCAAATGCTTGTGAAAAACAAAGTATTTTGAATTTGTTTAAAAGCTCTCATACGATTGTGGTTCAAATATTTAGTTTGGTTTTAAAACAAAAACCACAATTTTAGCTGTTACATCAGCTGAGATTCATGATGTAAGCAAAAAAATGACAATTCATATAGGAATAAAACGAAAGCCAATAAAATAGAAAATTCGACTCACTCTTGCCTTAAGCAAATCAAGTCCGACCTTATGAAATTAAAAAATTTTGCTTGAGAATTTGGAAATAGGCTATTCTTTAGCNAGAATTGATTAATTTCATTTACTACCAAATTTTCTGATTAATTAAGCAAATCAAGTTCCAATCTTAGACAATTAAAAGAATTTTGTTTTTGAATTGAATCAGTTATCCAGCCAGATAGTGCTCATTGGCACCATCAAGTGGTTGTGCGGTGCACTGCTGTTGCTGTCAAAGCGGCTGTCAAGGCCGTCACAGCACCGAGATGTGTGCGAGTGCTCCCCACTGCACACAGAGAAGCACAAATACAAGCCAATGTGCGTTCCTGCTCTCGCTCTCTATAGCAAGTGAATATCTTTGAGTATAGAGTGAGAATGCAAACACTTTTGGCTCACAAAGAAAAAGGACGCTAGCACTGCTCAAGCAGCAGCAGAGGCATCAGCTCAGCATTTGTGCACTGCACTGTTCAGTGTGCTAGTGAGCATTCTCGGCTTCTTCTTTCAGCTCACTCCAACCACCGAGCACGCTACAACGAACCACAACAAAGCAAAACTTGTCCACTACCACTTCTCATCATGGCTCATAATCATCATTTTGGCGACATTTCCGGCGGCGGCGGAAATGTTATTGCTCCTGTGGAAGCCCCAGAAGATGCTGCTGCTCCGGAAGTTCAGGCAGTTCAAGCAGTGCAAGCAGTTCCGGCAGCTCAGGAAGTTCAAGCAGCTCAAGAAGCTCAGGCAGTTCAAGCAGTTCCGGCAGCTCAAGAAGTTCAAGCAGCTCAGGAAGCTCAGGCCGTTCAGGCAGTTCAAGCAGTTCCGGCAGCTCAGGAAGTTCAAGCAGCTCAGGTTGCTCAGGTGGCTGCTAGAGAAGCTCCCGAACCAGTTCAAGCAGTTAACGTTCCACCAGTAGCTCCACTAGTTCTACCACCAATAATACAGGCCGCTCCGGCGGTGGAAGAAATGCGAGGTTTTTATGCAGTACTCCCAGTAGCTCAAGCAAATCAATCTGTGCAAATTCATGCAGCAGCTCCAGTGGCCGCCGCTTTCGGTGCTGCTGCTGCTGCTGCAGCTGCTGCTGTAGCCCATCCGGGTGCTAGTAATGTTCTCGCTGTACCGGTTGCCTACCATTCGGCCGCCCATCATTCAG